GAGAAATGATAAGTAATTTTCCTAAAGAGCTTGTGTAAATGGATTGCAGAACAGTGACTGGGAAGATAATAAGAAGAAAAAAATTAGAGCTATGAAAAACAGAAAGTTATGGAGTGTCATGATAGCCCACATCATGAAAGGACATGGCATATATAAAGGAAGATATGGAAAGGTATAAATCCATCCCATCTTTCTCCAACTATAGATTAAATTAGGTAGACTAGTTTCTTTCATTTTGGGTGGCAACCAGTCTAAGAGAAGGATAATTCTGAATTCCAAACTGTGGAGAAGGCAGTGGGAAACCACTCCCCTATCTTTCAAAAGAAGTCATGGGAATTGACAGATAGCAAAGAAAAAGAAATCTGTAAAGAATCATGATCCTGAAGGGAACATGGCATAAAAAAAGATATAGAATGGGAGGGAAGAATTATCAAAAGTATGACATGAACATTTCATATTGTGCAAGTCAGCATTGGTGGACCTAGATATGAGTGTGAGAGGGAGTCCACCCACATAGGGAAAAAGTTTTGGGAAGCTGGCCCAGGTGAATTAGTATAATAAAGTTGAAGACTAAATTATTTGTGACATTTTTTACTCCCTTTTCCACATGTGCCATTTTTAGTTAAATTCATTTCATGTTTAAATAATACATTGGCATTCACTTAGAATGTTTTGGGATTCGAGATGACATTTTGTGGAGAGGAAGGAAGGCAAGAAAAAGTTGCTGCTTTTGTCAGTAATCAAATCAAAAAATAAATGGTTATCATTGTAATTTTTCTGTTTTGTAGATGCTGTTTAGTTATGGAATTCAATAATTTCTTCAGGTGGTGATTTCTAACCAAACTCGGACAGAACTTGGTTTGATGAAATCCTATCACCCAAAACTTAAAGGATAAGATAAGTGGTTTGGACAGGTGAGCCATTCCACATGAACTTAAAATATTGGCACACTTAGAGGCAGGCGGTATTTAGGTGAATTAGTATAATAAAATAGCATGTGAAATTAGTTATGAAAATTTTTCCTCTCATTCCACTTCAATATGGTGTAACGGTTAACAAGCTATTCTCGCTAGAACAATTATGACTGAATAGGGAGCTTGATCTTCACTGGGTGCTCCATACTTTTGGCCTTGTGCTACATGTAACCCTACATGCAAGCCACCAATCTGACACTGGGTGGCATGACACTAGCGTTTACCAATCGGACACTGGGTGGCATGACACTAGCGTTTACCAATCGGACACTGGGTGGCATGACACTAGCGTTTACCAATCGGACACTGGGTGGCATGACACTAGCGCCACTAATCGGACACTGGGTGGCATGACACTAGCGTTACCAATCGGACACTGGGTGGCATGACACTAGCGTTCTAATCGGACACTGGGTGGCATGACACTAGCGTTTACCAATCGGACACTGGGTGGCATGACACTAGCGCTTACTCAATCGGACACTGGGTGGCATGACACCGCGTTTACCAATCGGACACTGGGTGGCATGACACTAGCGCCACTCAATCGGACACTGGGTGGCATGACACTGGCGTTTACCAATCGGACACTGGGTGGCATGACACTGGCGCTTCCAATCGGACACTGGGTGGCATGACACTGTCGGACACTGGGACACTGGGTGGCATGACACTAGCGTTGCCATTGGCGACCTTCCAGCAGGCCACTAGCAGCTTGTATGCAGTGAAGTTATGCTTAGAAAACCACCATTCCCCCTTGAGCTGTTTTTACTTAATTTCACATTATGGCTAAATAATACACTGGACATTACTCTATGAGTCAGTTATAAATTGATAGGGGATTGTTTTTTTTTCATAATGACTATATTGTTAATATAATAATCATAAGACACAAATACTTTATATTTTGCAAGTTAGCATTGATGGACTGATACGGGGGACTGTGAAAGGCTGTGTGTATCAAGTTTTGAGATGGTGTTATTATGTGTATTAGTATAATGAAAATTTTTCCTCTCATTCCACTGTTTTTACTTAAATTCACATTATGGTTAAGTAATATACTAAATATTTATTTTTATAGTTACACTCTGAGTCAGTTACAGACAGGGGATTTTTTTAAAGTGCCTATATTTTCAATATAATAATATTTTATCCTAAAATTGTTATTCCTTAAAAAAAGTTTTTTTTTTGTTTTTTTTTCTAATTATTTGAAATGTTTTCCCATCTTATTTTGTTATTGCATTTGCTGTTATTGCTGTGGACTATTTTTTTTTTTTTTTTTCAAAAAAAAAAAGAAAAAGATGATGATAACTGTAATCTTTATATTTTGTAGATGCTCTCCAGTTTTGGAATGTTGTTTAAAAGGTATGCCATTTTCTATTAGCCCCTCTCCGACTTCAGGCAACACAAATGTTATGTACACTATTGCAGATAAGCCAGTCCAACATTCTTATTTTATGCTTGTATGTTAGATCATGAGAAGTATCAATAAAAATAACAAAAAAAAATCTTTATCTCGTTTGTTGAGAAAAAAGTTTTTATTTATTGTTGCTTTTTGGTGCATGAAAATATTATTAATCGAATTCAAAAATTATCAAGATCTGTTTATCAAACAAAGAAGAATATTTCTCAATAAATAAATTTTAGAGAAATATTTTTATTCTAATTCTCAGACTCCATTGCAGGACACGCATACCTAGAAATTTCATAAAACAATTAATGGCACATGGCTTGGTTTTTTCTTCTTTTTTTTTTTAACAGACAAAAAAGTAGGCACCTCCAAAAATTTTATAAAAAAAATGATAAAAATAATATGCATACCATAATAAAAAAAAAGCCCCAAAAAGTCTTTTAATCAAAATGTTGCTATTAAGAGGAAAGATCAAGGTATAAATTTTTTTAAACTTCTCTAGCATGTTCGAAATTTTGGTTAAAAATCTTCTTTTTCTTTGTTAGCAGCTGGGATCATAAAAAGATTACTATGGGAAATTTAGCATTTTTTTTTTTTAAGTAAAAAACACATATTTCAATATTTTTCAATTAAATTTTTTTAATTAATTCCTTTTTGTATAATGACCAAAATACATTAATATGCAATATTTTATTTCTTTTTTTACACTTCGAAAAATAATCCGAAGATATTTATTTTCCAACAAATTACAGTACGTTCGATTGGACCTTGTTTTAAAATAAAGAGTACATAATTATTTTTTTAGTTACTTAGTTTATAAGCTGCTAAGAAGACCTAATTAAGAGGTGGCAAAACTATACTAAAACTTATTTTACTGGTTTTTTTTGGTTGTTTTTTTTTTAATAAAAATGGTGTGAGGATTGATTTTTTTTATATTTATTTTAAATTTACTTGTGCAAGAATTGTTGATTCTTAATAATCAAATAGTCAACAAACCAGAAATTTTAGCGGTGACTTCCAGGGAAAATACCGGTCGTTTATTCTACCCGGAAAATATGCTCAGTCAAAATGAGTTTTCTTTCCTGATTTTTAATTTGACAGTTCTGGCAGTTTTCATCGAGATTAAAATCAATTATAATTTCTTAGAGCCCTCAGTACCTTTCCTAAGGTTAATAATCTCTGGCGCTTGAGGTATCCCCGAAAAAGGAAAAATGACAGGGTGGGAGAACACGAGTAAATTTTGTTTATTCCGAGTCAGGTATGTGTACCGTGTGGGGCTCACACTTACTTTACCTTGTGCCATATTCCAAGTAGGTGGGTGAGTAGATATCTACTGAGATAGCAGGTAAAGGAAACAGGAAAATTATTTTCCTGTTTCATTTAAAATTAAAAATATAGATATTTTCCGAAAATATCTAAAATTTTTATTACCGTAATTATTACTGAAGACTGAAGAGTAGTACCTATTTGGAAGCTTCAGACGTGTACAGGGAATTAGAAACATTTTATTTTTAATTTTAAGCTTAGGAAATTTTAACCCCAATTTTTAGTCAACGAATTTGTACAGATGTTGAATTTTTCCTTTCTTTTCATAGTTATGTTTTATTTTTATTTTTTATGGACACAAACATTTTTAAAGTTTAAATTTTATTAAAGTTTGTTAAATATAAGATGTACGCCTGCAAACAGTTTCTTCTCTCGCACTTCTCGTTGTGGAACTCTCTTCTTCTGGATTCTTGCTTTCCATTTAACTTTGATCTTTAAACATTTAAATGCAATGTCAATCGTTATTTTGTCTCCATATTTCCTGTTCTTTCATAGTTCTCATTTCTTAATGTTTTCCCTTTTTTCTTTCTTATTCTTTCACACTCAGTAACCCCCCTTGTCTCTTAGTGGCTTTACTGCTTTGCCTGGGGTGAAATGATAAAAAAAAATATAATTTTATTAAATGTAACAAGAGTACAATGCTATTTTTACTTAAATCTACTTGTTACTTATCTAAAGTTTTTTAGCTAAGCAAAAACGGCCGACTTCAAGTTCAGTTTGTTAAAGTAAACAATGTTTAAAAAAAAACTGTATTCCACCTTGTCCTTATAAATATCATTTTTAGCAGTAATACAGGTAACGTAAAAATGTTGTTTAATAAAATAAAAACAAACTGTTTTAAGCTAAAAATATCTAACTAACAATATCCACACGCTAAAAAATTCTTCAGATTTTTATTAATTATTTTATGATGTTTAATTTTTTTGTCTTTTCCTTTTATAACCCACTTAAAAATCTAATTTCATTAATTAAATCATTTAATTAATGAAAGTACGTTTTTAAAAGGTTTATAAAGGAAAAGACAAAAAAATAAAGATTAATTTAAAAGATTGACAAACTTTTTAAAGACTTATTGTTGATAATTCAGGGTTTATTAAACTGTAAACAAAAAGAAAAAAAAATGTTGCTATCTTCAGAGCGTTCAAAACATCGGTGATCAACAAACAAGATATAGAAAAATTATTTCCAGAATAATAACAGCTGATATATTAACTCATTCTAAATTTAAAAAAATATCCGGTAAGTGCTAAAATAATTCGAGGTTTAAGCAAAAAATAAAAATAATCAACCTGGTTTGAATGAAAATCCACGTCAGCCATCATCGAGATACTTCCGGTGTAATCAAATTCACGCATGCGCATGAACTTAATAAAAAGCGGTGTTTTCACGTGGCTGTACAGGGTGATCCGAACGTCTTGTCACCCCTACTAGTAACGTCCTCTTCGGAGGAGCTGGTTTGCCGAATCTTGCAGTGAAGATCACATCCTCCATGCTCTTGCCAGAATGCACACGATCGTGTGTCCATACACTTGCAAGCAGCCTTTCTTCCAAATTGTAGGAGCTCTCGTCAGCCATCTGAAATAGAAAATTATATTATATACGTGGGACAAGACTTTCGGACCACTCTGTACATAAAAAAAATGTACCGGGTGGTCCGAAAGTTTTGTCACCTTCTATCAAAAAGTAATGTGAACAATAGAAGAACAAGTAATACAAATCACATGTACCGAATTCAGTTTATCCATTGATGCTGTCACACATCGAGAAGGTCTGTATGAACGCCATCATTTTCGTAGCACAAACAAATGTCCTGTGTGATATTTTTACGATGTTGTGCTTTTTTTGTTGATTGTTGCAAAGCAAGGCTTTCCGATGGGTATTCTGGTATCATTTCTGTGAAACTCTCTCCTTTGTGATACCCAAAAATATATGTAGGAGTGACAAGACATTTGGACCACGCTGGAGATTAAGATTAGGGCTTTTTCTTATTACTCGTTTTAAAAATTGAACATACGAAAATACACATTTGGAAGCCTCTTAATAATATTTTTCACTTTATTACACAGACACATTTCCTAATTAACATACTTTGCTATTAAAGTAGTGGTTTGCAGGTTAGGAAGCTTATAATGGCGTTCGGTTAAATTTTTAAAATGAACAGTTCATTTACCCACACCAAGAAGATTAATGAAGGATGGCAATGACAAGGAAACACACGGGTAATTTTAACAAAACAAGATAAGTAATTTATTTACAAATTTACACACGTCGAGTAGTGTCAGTAGCTCGTTTCAGGAAAATAAATCAGACATTTTTAAAATCCGTAGTTTTTTTAATGAATTGTCATGAAGAGGAAATGTTCATACAACAGATTTAAATGATCCGACACAAAATAATATTTAAAAATGTTTAAAACAAAGGTAAGAGAGTTCGTTGCTGACAGAAGTGATATACGATTGCATACATTCAAAAATAGACGAAGGGAGATAGTGCAGGGGTCAGTCTACCCGGATTTTAGGTGGAAAAATAAAATCCGAGTGTCATGTCCACAAATTACAATACAAAATTATAAGCAACGCGAAGAAGTGATCTTCACAGCAAAGGAAGAAAACTAAGCTAAATATGACAATAACATTTATACAGTAAATACAGGTATATGTTGAAAATGAATGTTCTTTGTTGTGACTATGAAGAGACCAATAGTTCGATGTGATTTGTTGCAGGTGAGTCTGCAAAATTTCGAAGTTATTTTGTCGCGAGTCTGCAACGATCGAAGTAATATGTACGCCAATATGTGTGCGTGTAGGAATACTTCTACTCGGGTTTTTGTTAAATGCCAAAATTTGGAGTGTCGGGATTCGATACAATAATATAATATATTGTAGGAGGATGATGCTACATATGTTTATCTTTCGACTAGGAAATGCTATTAAGGATAATGCGTGGACGCAATGGAATTTATATTTGACGTAAAATAGCACATAGTATAAAATACAAGGCAGAATGTAATGATTCAAAACATAAGAATTGAATTTATTAGTGTTTGGTGTACATGCATATAAGCTGAAGGTTTAATAGAGTTATGTCTCTTAGATTTGGAAATATTTGTACCTGAGCTCATAAAGATGGAGTAATTATTAAACTGTAGTTTAGAAGAATAAAGTTCCTTTAGCATGTAAGGAATTGTGTATTGGATAAGTTGGTAAGAGTTCAGAAGAGTTAAGAGTTGTACTTGCGTGAATTGGTAATGTTCTTTAACGTCTGACTGCATGTTCAAGACGGGAGTTCTTGAAGGTTACATCTTGGCAGCAAGGATTGAGATGCAAGAGAGACTGAAGAGAACACGACGGAGCTTATTCGTGTTTTGTTTATATATGGCTGTGTATCACGTGGTAGGCTCGGAAGCTTCTGCGCGGCAAAATTATTTCTCGCGTGCCAGATATCTGATTGGTCGGAATTGACCAATCAGCGAGCTAGTTTTGAGGATATCAACAAATGAATGCTTGTCGCATGATTTCTATGTACTGTGTGTATGTAATGGTGGTGGTAGTTACCACAATATTGTTGTGGGACTGCTCGTAATTCCGTTTAGAATAATCCGACGATTTTCATTGAAAGAATAAAATCCAGTAGAAAAAGACAACGTAGTATCAACAAATAAACATTAATTTAATATAACGAGAAGAATACAAGATGCATTGGTTATCAATTTGAAAGTAATGTCTTTTTTGTTCTGGTTAATAAAGTTCTAGAATACAATATAAATTGTATTTGTGTATGTATGTGAGAACGGTGAAATGTGGTTAGATGTGTATTTGTGTGAAAGAGTTAGTACGTGTGTGCGTGCTTAGTTGTAACAGGGGATACAAGAGATAGAATATATTTCTTACTGTGAACTGTGTTGCCGTAGTTTGGAGCGGTCTCTTTGTATTTTGTCAGCGCAGTAGCTTTTTGCGTGTAGACGTGAAAGGGGTCTTGAAGGTAAGCCGCTCGAATGACGTGGACTTTGATTACATCTGTGCGTCTCCTGTTTGGGATCGGATTTCGCGAGTTTTATACACTTTTTCGTTAGAACATCGGCTCCAGAATTATATTATTTATTTCTTGCTAATTGCCCTTAAAAAAAGCCACGTGGTATGTCTTCTGCTACGTTCGCACAATATTTTGGCAGTACCTACCTAAAGTATGATGAAATATTTTATTAAATATTTTAGTGAACACGACAAAAGCCCCTTCCAAATAATTAAACATTTTTTCTAATGATATATAGGAAACAATAATTTAATATCTTAGGTATATTTTGGCCAATGAATATGTCTTCTAGATATTGTAACATCCTTCTGTTATTGTTTCTGGTGGAGTGCCATTTGCTTTACTGGATGTTTGTTCATTTGTCTTTTGAGTGATATTTTAATCTGGATGCTTATATTTTTCTTTTTGTTGCTTTCGTGAGAATTGTTTATACGCAGTTAGTTTTGTTTTGTTTCATCGCTAGAGCTGCCTTTAACTGTCTGTGAAAACGTTCTACCATCCCGTTTGCACAAGGGCAATAAGCTGTAGTTTTTATGTGTCGAGTTCCGAGTAGGTGATTGAATTCTCTAAATAACATAAACTGGAACTAAGTTCATCTGTTTAGGATAGTAAGGATATATGTATATCGTTGTGAACAAGGTAAGGGTCCTACAATATCGACATGTGTTGGTGAATCTTGCTGAATATGCCTGCAGGTGATTTGGTATGCTTATTTATCTTGTTCTTCTGGCATAATAAACAGGTTTTATCCAATTTCCTATGTCGGTTGACATGTTTAGACAGACAAAACGTTCAGTACTTGAGAGTTGCACGTTTTACTGGGTGAGACAATTTATGGAAGTGTTAGAATACTTGCTGTCTCAAATTTGGCAATATGTAAGGCCGTGGTTGAGTTTGTGAAATGTCACAATAAAACTTTGTATCACAAAATGGAACAGATTGTTAAACTAATTTTAGTAATGTGCTTTGTTGTACCTCTTTTAATGAAGTGTCTGGGTTTTGTTCTTTAGCAATTAATTCAAGGATCAAAAAATTAGAATCTAAAGAAGCTATTGTGGCACGTGATAGTGCATATGCCACTATATTTTTTGGACCTGTCACACATTTGATGAGAATTGGGTAATCTAATCCAGGTGTCTTATTTCCTGTGGATTATATTTGTCAGTATGTGTGTCATGCATATATTAATGGCTTATGGTCTGTATATATAGTGAAATCTCTGCCCTCCAGGAGGTGTTGAAAATGTTTGATAGAAAGGTATATTCTTAATAGATCCCTAGAAAAGGAGCTGTATTTAGTTTGTGCCTTATTTAGTTTAGAGGAGAAGAAAGATATAGGTCTGATTTGTTTGTCCAAAGTTTGGGGTAAAACTGCAACTACAGATGTTGATGAAGCATCTGTTGTGAGGGTGAGTTTAATTTCCTCGCTATCCTTGATGTAACTCTGCTTATTAAAGTTAGCTTAAGATGTTTTGGCGTTGTTGAATGTTTCTAGAGTATCTTCCTTTAACATAATCTTTTTGTTCTTGAGTAAATCCATCAAGGGTGATAGTACCGATGTCAATAAATCCCCTGTAATAATTCATAAGGTCTATAAATCTTCGCAATTGTATAGTAACGTTGGTGACAGAAAGTTGGTAATTGGCTCTATTTTGTCTGGGAAAGGTGAAATACCTTCTTGGTCAATTTAATGTCAGAGGAAATTTAGTTTTGGTTCACCAAAAAACACACATGTAGACATTGATTTTGAGTCCAAAATGTGAAAGTCCTTGAAAAACTTGTTCCAAATGTAGTTTGAACTCTTCCCGTTTCCTGTTGACAATTAAAAGATCGTCTATATCGGCATATATGAAAGGTAAACCTCTAAATAACTCGTCGATTAGTCTCTGGAAGGTTGGTGCGGCATTACGTATCCCGAAATGCATTCTCACGTACTCGTATAATCCGAACGGCGTCGTCAGAAAAGTTTTGTGGATGTCCTCTTCGGCAACTGGTACTTGGTAATACACCTTCACCAGGTCTAGCTTTGAGAAAATGCGAGCGCCTTGGAGACCCATTACAAAATCGTGTATATGTGGAATAGGGTATCTGTCAGGGTGTTCAATCTACGGAAATCGCCACATGGACGCCATGCTGTTGTGTTAGATTTTTGGACCATATGTAATGGTGATGACCATCTGCTCTTGGATGGACGTATAATACTCAACTGTAGTATTTGCTGTTGCTCTGCCTTGGCAATTTTTTATTTGTCAGGTTTTAATCGTCTCAGCGTAGAGTGTAACTACCACTGCCTAAAAACAACAGGATAACCATCCTGTTGTTTTTAGGCA